GGGTCTCGATCGGTCCTCCTCCGTGTGCTTTATTCTGAGGACAGCTTGAGAAGTGGGGTTGTCTCCTGACTACCGCTATTCGGGCCTCATCAGAACAAGCTCCACGGACCAGAGAAAACACAGTATTTTCTAGGTGGCAATCTTAACATGAAGCAGCAAAAATGACTTTTTTTTTGGACCACAAAACTATCTGCCAGTTCATCAGTGCCCTCACGGGACGACAAAATCCAGAGCGGAGGCTCCGGGTCAAGTCCCCCATTAAGTAGTGATTTGCTTTGCGCAAGTGTCTATCGCTACGTGTGTTCTCCGTGCCAGGTGTCCAGCCTAGGAGTGGAGGATCACGGCGAGATGACAGCTCCATCAAGGTTACCATACGAAGAGGGAAAGATCACAACCAGTGGGAGGGGAGGGGGTCTCAGTGCATTTTGAGCTGGCCCGTTGTAATAGTGCCTGTTTTGCCCTGTAAAAAATTGGAGGCTGCACTGCAGTCATTTGGCAGCTGTTCCCACCCTGTCTCCCCTCCCAAGGTGAACTGGCCTACTTCAGCTTCCTCTCACTGTGGGATAGGAGCGGACACACAAGAGGGTTACAACAGAGCAGCTGATGCCCACTCATGGGGGGCGAGTACCCTCGTCCTTTTCTGGGGGTGTGATTGGTTCATCTGTCTGCAATCACAGCATCTGGCCACTCCCGGGGGCTGATACCAAAGGGCCACAAAGGTTTTCCACGATGCACCTAGCCCAGCGTACAGTGATTCAGGGTGCGGGAGCAGCACACTTCCTTTCAGACATCTGAGGCCGTCAGCGTATTCTGGTCCTGATCCAGAGAGGGGTATTCCAGTCTCCGTTTCACTCGCTCCCGCGTGGTGTTGCCCGGCCTGATTGAGCAAAGCAACTTAAACACATAATTACCTTCAGGCATTTGAGTCGTCTCCAAAGTTACACGCTTGCTTCAGCGCATGGTTGGATCAGGGCCAGAGTTCTCCGCACCAGGCAGGACTGAAGCATGAGACAGGACTACACCTCTCCGACTATGTATGATTATAACAATTATTAATGGGCAGAAGATTACCCAGCCTTCTCTTAAATTAGCTCTAGCGAGTGCCTCAGATAGCTATTGCTTCTACAGGCCGTTACAAATGGATCCTCCATCATCTAAAATGCCCAGGCAGTGATATTGCTATGCAAATCATAACCAGATTACTGAGGCTGACTAAAGGAAAAAGGAGCTATTTCTACTGCCTCCTCTTAGAGCAAACACCCAGCACGCTCCTACCCTGATGCCAAACACTACTGCCAGCGTGTTCAGCCCTTCCGAGCGGCTGAGTCAGTTTGGGCCTTTCTGTGTGCGACAGAATATCAATATTTTACTCATAAAAGCCTTTTGCCAGTATATTTGTCCCAAAGCCTAAAAACCCCTGATTAAAGGAGCAAAATACTATTTGGAAACTTTCTCTATCACAGAAGGGAAACACTGAAGTTTTACACCTGCCTGATGGTTCTAGGTGCCATTTATCTGTCACTCGTATTACATTTAAAGTACAAATGTGTTAGCTGTCCATAGGAATAAGAACTTGTGGTAGAGGTGGTAGCTTTTATTAGGGAATAGTCTGTTTACCTCCAAGTTGCTTGGTGGGTGTGAGCTGTCCACATGTATTAAGACAAAAGGATACATACTGAAATAAAACACAATAGATTTTTGTGTTTATTATCGTCAGTTTAAAGCAGATGTTTTTGATTAAAACCAATTGTGTGTCACCCTCTGGCTAAGTGTTTGTAGAAGAGGCAAGATGTTGGAATTTAAACAACTGCAGGTCAAAATTAATGCCACGACTGTTTGATAATTAAAAACGCCACCTCCAGTAGCTTGCCTTGCTAAGCAGGCAGGAAAAGCCGGCGTCAGGATGTTCGGATCTGTTTCCGTTACTACAGAGGCTGATTGTGGCTAATCAGCAAAGCTTGCATCAGTATGTGCAGGAGGTAAAATAAAACCTAGCCCAGGGCACAAAAAGAACAAGGAGTGAACAGCGATACAGTTAAGGAAGGAAAAAACCACATCAGGGAATGGAGAAGCCACTCTGCAGCTATTTTGTACAGGGAATAAACATATGGGTTAAAATAGCCAAGTGCAGCAATCAAAAAGTAAGCATATAGTTTCCAAGACAGTTTGGCATTTATACAGACAGACAGACAGGAATGGAGGAGGATACAGGCTGGTGTCTCTGCAGGGAAGGGAGATGAGTTGCACCAGGCTGCCAGGGCCAAAGACAAAGCACTGCAAGATGCTAACAGATCAGCTGTGATTTTTGTGCATTTACATTTTTACCTCGCTCATTCGAATCTTTTTTGGTACATTTTCTTCTTTTTATCCCCTCTTTGTCAGCAATCTCTCGCTCTCGCTGTCTATGGATTCATCTCTCTCTGTCTCCTGTCAGGCACAATAGGATTTTTCTGTCTTTGCGTGCCTCTCTCTCCATCCACTCCCACACAAACACTGCCACTCACAGCCTGAAAATCTTCCCTTTCATAACCATTTTGTACTCCTCACAGAGTTTCCCCTGGTGATCCTCACACATCTGCATGCAGCCACCCTGCTCCTTCCTCCAGAGGCATATCCTCATCCGCTACTCCACTTCCACCTACCACCTGCAAACACCTCTCCCGTCTACCCCAACTGCATTCACTCAGCTCAGGGGCTTTTCCATGCCTCCAGTCCATCTC